CCTTCCTGGGGTTGCCAGGGAATGAAATCACGCCTGGGGTTGCCAGGGCCTTCTTGGGGATACTGGGGAATGAAATCGCACTTGGGGTTGTTAGGGCCTTCCCGGGGTTGCCGTGGAATGAAATCATGCTTGGGGTTGCCAGGGCCATCCATCATATGGATGGCCGAACCCTACAAGTAGGTTGGGCAAAATTTCAAAAATTTTTCTCTCTCCCATATGGGAATCACATTCCCTGTTTTCGAAAACTGCATTTTCAATGATCAATCTTGAACCTAAATTGGACCAGATCTGAAACCAAAAGGTAGGAGAGGGATATACCTGATACGGAGTAACAGTAACTCACAATGAATGTGTTCACACCCAAGGAAAAATGCCAAAGATAGGTCCCACTGAAGATGACACAATGTAGGGTGGAGCAGAATCAGTAGGTGGTTCTTCAGTAAGAACTGAACTCTCCAGCAAAAATTTGATGGAGGGTAAGTGAGCACGACTTCAAATCAGTTTTTCACCAAAAACTGATATCAAGAACGCTTCTTGATCGCTCCTACAGGTGGAGAACGAACTAGTGATGGCGACAGCAACAAGAGGAGGCAAGATCAGAAGATGGCGTCAGTCTAACTGGAGCTGTCTTATCTCTTGTATCTGTAATCTGATTGAGTGCTGAAGGGTTTGCCCTCCTCCTCTATTTATAGCCTTAAAGAGAGGTTCTCCTAATCCCATTAGGAGTTTCCTAATCCAAATCTTGTATTTGGATCTGGACTCTCTTTAAGAGATAAGGATAATCCCTTATCTTATCCGCAGAGATGATCCCTCCTATCTGCTAATCTAAATCCCAGAACCGCCCCTCTTTAATTAATCAAATTAAACCAGTTCGAATTGGGCTTTAGGCCCGTTAAGTCCATGTGCTCATTCAGCCTTTGAACTGCTGCCCAGTTGGGTATCCTTGTATGGCGTGGGACCCAAACATTGATCTACACATCAACCACATGGGTTTAGCCCAGCCTCTGTTACAAGGCTTGGTCGAATTCACTGTAGATGGCAGTGAACCTTGGAGCCCATGGGCTCTTAATGAGCCCAACACTTACACTAAGTGGTCATTGGGTCAAGCCACCTTATAAAAACCCAAGGATTGTGGGCAGATGCAAGATTAGCCCATCAGGTATCACCCTCAATGGTCTTACATTTAACATTTCAGCCCATAATGATCAAACACTACCCCGACAAGAGATGACCTATCCCTCGGCTGCAAGGAGCAGTGCTGCACTCTCTACTCACATGAATCCTAGGAATTAAAACGTTTTGCAAACATTTTGAAACCATAATATATATATGTATATTTCTATATAAATATATTTTGCAAAGCAAATTTCAATGATTGAAGTCAACTGCCGGCAGTTTTGGTTTCCATCAGAGAGAGTGCATCCCTGATCATTCACTTTGTCCGACAAAGGGGTTGATCCTGTCACTATGATCACCCACTCAGATGAATTCTCGGACTGTCCCAACATACCCAGGTTTTGACCCCCTCTAAGGATCTCACTATTGGCATATCAAAGACAGCCCAATCCGACACCTAGTGCAGTATCATAATCGAGTCTAGGGGTCAAGTGTAATATTCCAGTTTTGCCCATCTATCTCCAAAGTCCAGGGCAATACTGGAATTCTGGTCCGGTTCAGGGTTTCAAGAAAACCCACACTGCATGTACCTCAGGTATCACCCTGGTAGTTGAGACAAGCCACTCCAACCAACTTGGCGACACATCAGTGTCAGTCTTGGCAGGATAAATCTCTCTAGATCTATCCATCGGCTATGAAGATTCTAAACTAACACGAGTCTCATATGTGTCCARTTTAAGGGTATTACACAGAAACACACCATAATAACATGAATCAAATATGTACTTTATTCATTTGAATAAATACCATAGTGTACATCATTCTGATTAGAGCTATATCTAACAGCTCCCACATGCACTTAGGTTCAATCTGGTATAAGCGGGAGTCTCATACTTTCCACGTGTTTATCAAACACTTTCTATGTCAGTGGCTTAGTCAATGGGTTTGCTACATTCTCCGCTGATGCTACCTTCTGAATTAGAACGTCCCCTCTTCTAACTATCTCCCACAGTACGTGGTACTTCTTCTCGATGTGCTTCGACTTCGAGTGGGCTCGTGGCTCCTTAGCCTGAGCGATAGGTCCAGTGTTGTCACACAACAGTGGAAAGGGTGATGTGCTGGATGGAACTACTCTCAATTCATGAATGAACTTCTTCAACCATATGGCTTCTTTGGCAGCTTCACTTGCGGCAATGTATTCGGCTTCGGTTGTGGAATCCGTCGTGGACACCTGTTTACTGCTTTCCCAGCAAATAGCACACGATCCTATCATCTGGATATGATTGGAAATCGGCATCAGTATACCCCTAGATCTGTAGTGGGCTATCATCGAATACCAAACAAAACTCTTTTGTCTTTCGAAGGTACTTAAATTTGTTCTTCACAGTAGTCCAATGCTCTTTCCCTGGGTTGGCCTAGAATCTACTTACCACACTCACTACCTGAGCAATGCCAGGACGAGTGCACAACACGGCATACATGAAGCTCCCTACGGCTGAGGCATAGGGTATGTCCTTCATGCCCTCAATCCCCTAGGAGAGAGTGACTCCTTGCCTGAAAGGAACATTTCCTTTCTTAGAGTTCTCCATGCTGTATCTTTTGACTATCTTCTTAATATAAGCAGATTGGGATAATCCTATTATCCTCTTCAATCTATCTCTATAGAGTCGAAGACCTAGTATATAGGAGGCTTCTTCAAGATTTTTCATGGAGAATTGCTATGAAAGCCATACTTTCACCGTAGTCAATATTCCTACATCATTCCCAATGAGTAGAATGTCGTCTACATACAGAACCAGAAACGTAATCTTATCACCACTGGATTTCTTATAAACATAGGGCTCCTCCAGGTTCTGCTCAAAGTCAAACCTTTTGATAGTAGAGTCAAACCGGATGTTCCAACTACAAGAAACTTGCTTAAGACCATATATGGATCTATTTAATTTACATGCCATATGTTCCTGACCCGCAACTATAAAACCTTGCGGTTGCTGCATGTAGATATCTTCACTAAGATCTCCATTCATGAATGCAGTTTTGACATCCATTTGCCAAATCTCGTAATCATGGTATGCTGCTACAGCTAGCAAGATCCTAATGTTTTTAAGCATGGCCATTGACGAAAATGTTTCCTCATAACTAGTGCCCTCTTTCTGAGTATACGCTTTCACCACTAGACGAGTCTTGTAGGTCTCAACCTTACCATTGAGGCCCTTCTTCCTCTTATAGATCCATTTGCAACCAATTGCTTTTACCCCAAGGGGTGGATCTACTAGAGTCCAGACTCCATTGGTCTTCATTAAGTCCATCTCAGCTCTCATGGCATCTACCCACTTCAAGGAATCTATGTCCAACATAGATTCCATATAAGTCACGGGATCTTCCTCACTGATTGTAGCTTCCACCAGGTAACTATCCTGGTCATAGTCGAAACGAATTAAAGGCCTGGAAACCCGGGTAAATATTCTAGGTTGGTCATTACCTGAAACTTGTGGGACACCTCCCACTACCCCTGAGCTTTCTTCATCAAGAACAACTTTCTGATGATGATTGTTCAGGATGTAATTATCTTCCATGAAATAGGCATTTCGGCTACAAAACACCTTCTGTTCTCCTAGGTCATAGAATAGATAACCCATAGAGCCTTTGGGGTAGCCTACAAATAGGCAACGACTGGTCTTGGATTCCAATTTGTCTGCACTCATTCTTTTAACATGTGTCATACAACCCCAAATCTTTAAGTGTCTTACACTTGGTTTCTTACTGGTCCAAAGCTCATAGGGAGTCTTCGGAACTGATTTGGTTGGAACCCGGTTCAGCACGTATATCACAGTCTCCAATGCGTAACCCCAAAAGGATGTGGGTAACTCTGAGTGTACGAGAAGTGACCAGACCATATCCAATAAAGTCCTATTCCTCCTCTCTGAAACACCATTTAGTTATGGTGTGGTAGGCGGAGCTAACTGTGATATTATCCCGTTGACCTTTAAGTAGTCCCTGAATTCGTTAGAGAGATACTCGCCACCTCGATCCAATCGAAGGGTCTTAATTTCTCTCCCTAATTGTTTCTCGACCTCTTGTCTGAACTATTTGAACTTTTCAAATGATTCAGACTTGTGTCTCATTAGGAACACGTAACCATACCATGAGTAATCATCGGTGAATGTTATAAAATAAACGTGCTGGTTACATGTCCTAACACTTATAGGACCACATATATCAGTATGTATAAGGTCAAGCGTGCCTGTACATCTTTCAGGCTTATCGTTAAATGGCCATTTTGTCATCTTACCCTTAAGGCAATGTTCACAGGTTGAAAGATCTTCTATAGTTAGAAAATCCAAAGGACCATCCTTTACTAACCTTGTGATACGATCTATGTTAATATGGCCAAGTCGGTAATGCCACAGACACGTGGGATTAACTGTATCACGGGTTTTTTTCTTGGGAACATTGACCGATGTAGTTTTGGTTATGTTAGTTTCCAGAGAATGATGGATAACATAGAAACCATTCTCAACTTCTCCGTATGTGAGGAATTTATTATTTCTTTTAATAGTAATTGTATTACTAAAGAAAACAGAATATCCATCCGCACACAATTTTGAAACAGAAATCAAATTTCTTCTAAAATTTTGTACATAAAGACAATCTTTCAGTACAATTGTTCATTCTCTGAAAATTAACTCTACAATTCCTATAATTGTAGCTACAACACTTGCAGAAGTCCCCAAATAAAGAGTTACTTCTCAGTCACTCAGTCTTCTGCTTATCCTGAACCCCTGCAGTGAGTTACACACATGAGTTGATGCCCCGGAGTCAATACACCGGGAACTTCACTTTTTTCAGCCAACAAATAAATCCAAACTGCTCAAGAATAATCATCAACAATTGTCAAAAAATATGCAGCACCACAAGATGCAGGTACTCTATAAGCACCCCATAGGTCACAATGAAAAAATGCAAAACGATCAGTCACTTTATTGCTGCTTTGAATAAAGACATCTCTTGTTTGCTTTGCCTTCAAACAAACATCACAGGTTTTATTCTTACTATTACTAATATTAAGAAGTAGGCTAACCATCTGATAAGAAGGGTGTTCCAATCTCCGATGCCGCAAATCGCATGACCCAATTCCATCTGTCATGTAAGCATGAACCGGCGCCACACCCTTGAAGACATAGACCCCATCAAGTTGTTCACCCGCACTAATCAAAGTCCTTGAGATGCGGTCCTGTATCACACACAACTTATTAGTAAACGTTACAATACAATCTGTGTCACAAAGTAACCGACCTACTGACAATAAATTACAATTGAGTTTTGGGACATATAATACGTGTAGCAATTTAAAATTATTTCCAAGTTCAACAGTGCCTTCTTTCACGGCCTCGGCGTGCGCACCGTTGGGTAACCTAACAGGACAAGGTGCAACATCATAGGTGTCGATGAGCACATTTAAATTTCCTGTCAAGTGATGTGACGCCCTAGATTCAATAATCCATTCAATGGAGTAATTCTTACTAGAGAGTTTTTCATTGGTCCTGGTTTTGTAAGCATTAAGCATGCTTACAAGAGTCTGCCATTACTCGTCATTAAGCTCGCTCAGTCCGGTTCGGTCTCCGTCAGTCACAGCTGCATTAGCAGCCACCTCACGCCCTGCTGATGACTGAGCAGCATGAGGCTTTGCCATACCTCGGCCACGCCCACCCCCTTTTCCTCGTCCTGCTCCACGTCCGGTCAATGTACCGCGGGGTTTGTCTCCCCACCAATCAGGGTATCCAATTAATTGGAAGCAACTCTTTGCTTCATGGCCAAATCGACCACAATTGTTACACACAATTGTTTTGTCTTTTGAAGCAGCTTTATTGTCTCGCGATGTCTGCGAGGCTTGTGCTACATCTGGTTGTTCCTCCTTACCTCGTGCCAACGATCGATGTCGATCTTCTTGTATGATCATTGAGTAAACTTTATTCATATTTGGAATTGGCTCCATACTCAATATGTTAGAACACACAGTTCCAAATATATCATCGTCCAAACCCATCAGAAATTGGTGGATTTTCTCTTCTTCTCTTTCTTTAACCAGTTCGGCTGCCGCTCCACACCTGCACCCGCATGTACATATGGGTACCTTAGAGTAGCTTCCTAATTCGTCCCACATTGCCTTCAATTTTCCGTAATATGCAACCACTGTCTGTCCATGTTGCTTGCAGTTAGCAAGCTCGGATTTAATCTGATAAATCTGGGGTCCATTGTCGATTGAGAATCGTTCCTTCAGATCATCCCAAAGTTCTTTGACCGTCTCCATATACGTGATAGTTGAACGTAGTGATGGATCGACAGTATTGAAAACCCAAGCCACCAACATCGAATTCACACTCCACCAGAGATCGATCTCCGGAGCTTCGTTTTCTGGCTTCGTGACCTTGCCTTCGATGAAACCGATTTTGTTTTTGGCATGGAAGACAGTTCTCATCGCCTTTGCCCATTCATCGTAGTTATCTCCTCTCAAGACCACCGGACTGATAATAACTCCAGGATTATCTGATGGATGCAAATAGAAAGGAGAAGACGGTCCAACAAACTTACTCAAGCTTTCACCATTTCTGTCGTTGTTGGCAACCATGGTGACCAATCAGCAAGACTCGTCAGTAGTAATATCGAGTTTGATTCCAAGAAGACGATGGATGATCCTAATGAGGCTCACGAAGAAATCAAAGTACATCAATATTGGTGTCGTCGAGCTTTACCTTCTGCATTCTTGAAAACTGGTATCGAGTTCTTGAAGAAATAGGAAGAAACATGGTGCAAGAACAAGCGGATCACCGCCGTAGTCTTTTATTATTTATAGTATAATATTATACATATATTTATATAATATATATTATAAATATAAAAGACCAAAAAACCAAACTGGTCAAAAACCGAAACTGACAAACCGGTTAATCGATGGTACTGGTTCGGTTTTAGTTTGAAGAAATGAAAAAACCGATAACACCGGTTCAGTTTGCAAAATATGCACACGTTACACCAAGAGCTACCAGCCTACCACCAAGGAACTCGACCTTTGCATCCTCTACCTCTGCCTTTTTAACCTTTCCTATCAACTTGCACAGATGCATCAACATACAAGTCGATGAGTCTTCTTAACTTCCTACTTCCTGGGCGGCCCCCAAACCTGAAGGTTTCGTCAGCTTCATCCTAAGAAGCTAAACTTTCAACCTCATCAACATCCGCAGCACTTTCAGCTCCTTTCTTGAGTCGTGAAACTTCAATACTACGGCCGTATGGCAATCTTCTCCGCCCCAGAATTGAAGCCCTAAAGATCTTCCTACACTGAAATCTCTGTTAGCCTGAGATACCACAAGGTCCCCTACCTTAAACAAAGACGACATTCTTATCTTCGGTGGGGAAGACCCTTCTCCGATGAAGTTCACCTCCAAGTCAGGTCTCTGGGCATGACCTTTCGGGTATCCACCCCAGAATGTTAGAAAGAAACGATAGCTTCCAACTATTCATTTCCCAAGAGATCAGTGGGCCTCGATGACCTTTTTCTTGGACATCTCTTTTGCTAATTTACTACAAACCTAACCCTACGATCAGATAGCTTCCTGCACAAAACCTTCAGACCCACTCGCTTTGCTGCCATAATCAAGAGTTTTAAGATTCCTAATGAGAGTGGCATGTGACTTTACCTTTCTTGGAGCCGTTATCACTTTGATACGCTCCCAAACTATTGCAACCGGCACCAAGGATCCTTCTACTCCAGCCCTCTCTTTTGTGAAATAGGCCCCTGCCTGATCCAAACCTTGGACGTAGACCAGACGTCCAATGCCAGGCCCAGCCCGTGAAGAGAGACGGGCCCGACCTGCGAGTCTGCAACCGCTTCAGAGGCTCTTCACAACGGTCGGAATGACCTCTGCGAACCATCCTCGACCTACCTCTTGTAATCTATCTTGTAGACCAGACGTCCAATGTCAGGCCCAGCCCATGAAGAGAGACGGGCCCGACCTACGAGTCTGCGACCACTTCAGAGGCTCTTCACATCGGTCGGAACGACCTCTGCGAACCATCCTCGACCTACCTCTTGTAACCTATCTTGAGCTTTCGAGTCTTAGATGTAGAAGATTATTTTCTTTTCAATTGGAGAAAATTCCTTATTAATACTCTGTACTTTGGTTTGAGTGACAATGTGGTCCCCAAATTTTAAAATGCGATAATTCAGTATCCGAAATTTCAAAATGTGATAATCCAGTACCCGAACTTTCAAAATGTGACAATCCATTACCTGTTGTTAACTAGTCTATTAATCAACCGTTAAATGACATTTGAAAAGTAAAAAATGCTCTAAGAATACCATTTAATTCTCTTTATCAATTATCCAAACATTGACAATAAAATAACAGTCCCTAAATCTAGATTCTTCTAAACAATCATCAACTTTTTTGAATAGAAGAGGTTAATATTTGAGACTATTCATTTTTTTTGTCAACATTTGAATAGTTGATAAAGAGAATTAGATGACATTGAAAGGACATTTTTGACTTTTCAAATACATGATTAACAACAAGTAACGGATTGTCACATTTTGAAAATCCATTACATTTTAAAAGTTTGAAAACTAAATTGTCTCCGGGCCAAAAGACAGGGAAATGGATTGTCACATTTATGAGGAGACTACCAATCAGTTAAGGGTTGTACTGTTTGATGCCGTTTCGTTCCTAAAAATGGAAAAATATCAATTGGCAAAACTAGGGGCATGTGAAACTAGATTTCGATTAATAATATCCCTGCAATTATCATTAAGGTTGATTTTTATATAAAAAAAGTTGATTTCTACAGAAAAATAATACAATTTTTTTAAATAATGAAAGAAATGATAGTTACCCTTTAGTGATTGATACGTTGGATAAATTTGAAAAATAAATCAATTTCAGAAAAAATAGAATGCAGAGGCTCTGGGTAATAATTGATATAAAGAAAAAAAAATTGGAAGAAAAACATTTTTGTCAAAAGTAATTATATGAATATTTTGGACATTTTCATTATTCTTGTTAGAGTATTCGAACTTTCAAAATGTGACAATTCATTACCTACCATTAACTAGTTTATTAATCAACCCTTAAATGGCATTTGAAAAGTAAAAAATGCTCTAAGAATGCCATCAAATCCTCTTTATCAATTATCCAAACATTGACAATAAAATAACAGTCCCAAATTTTAGATTCTTTTAAACAATCACCAACTTTTTTGAACAGAAGAGGTTAATATTTGGGACTGTTCAGTTTTTTGTCAACCTTTGAATTATTGATAAAGAGAATTAGATGACATTGGAAAGGCATTTTTGACTTTTCAAATACTACTTAACAATGATTAAAGCAAGTACCAGATTATCACATTTTGAAAACCCGTCACATTTTAAAGCTTGAAAACTAAATGTCACCGGGCCAAAAGACAGGGTACTGGATTGTCGCATTATTGTGGCATTTTAAACTTTTAAGACTCGCGCCCTACTGTTAAAGAGTCCCGATCCGTTACTCAGCCACAGGGTGCTCTTCCCACCAACCTCAGAGGCACAGACAATACATTGTGCAGTCTCGTTAAAAAATTCCGGCCGATGCCCGAGACTGTTCAGCGAAAATTTTCCCCTGGTTAAACCGCTAACACTGAGGCCCAATGAGATATTCTGGTCTTTAATCCCTTCCGAGTCTGACATTATTATCATACACAAATCACTACAGTTTAAGCAGCTAATTCGTTGGTTGGTTTACTTACCATGCACCATTAGGCGTATAAATAAAAAGGACAAGTGGGTTAATAGATTATTAATTGAAAAATCATCATTTTGATCTTTACAGAGTATAAATAAGGGACAAACACAGACATACAAGCACATCACATTTTCAGAGAGAGAGAGATGGAGGAGATACGACAGGCAGCCTTGTGCTATTACAGAGACAGCGAACCAGAGATTAAGATGAAGGCGGCGGAACAATTCATGTCAATGGATGGGGATGGAGATGGGAAGGTAAGCATAACGGAGTTTACAGAATACCTAAAGAGTGCGGGGTGCAATGTTGATAAGAACCTATCTCGAAACTTATTTGAAGAATTGGATCGGGACAAAAATGGGGTTCTAGATTTCGAGGAAGCCATAGTCTTCTTTTACATCTCAACAAAGAGAATGATAATCTGTGGTGGGTGCGGATCGTTTATAAGGGATGTTTATTTTACATGCATCCAATGCTTCCGCAACAAAAGTCAAGATGCCTACAATCTTTGCTGCGACTGCTACGCCTCTGGTCAAGGCCGAAGCGATGAACACAAAGTTTTTCTCGATAACTTTACCGCACTGAAATTCATAAGGCAGTCCATAGAAAAGGGACAAACTTCCAAGGTAATTAATTAATTATAAGCCATACACAGTCTCAATGTTTAATTATTTTGTTAATAAGTCTTTAATTTCTTTCTCGATCCGTATGGTATTTTATGTTTGCAGAGAAATGGGGTCGTAGCTGCTGTAGCAGTATTTGTTGCCAAAGCTGCCGCCCGTCATGCTGCACTTCATGCGGCGGGAGCCGCTGGGGAGGTGGCGGTAGGAGCTGCCGTCGCCGGTGCTTTTGGACCCGTTGTACAAGGTGCAGCCGTGTTAGGGGTTGCGAAAGCTGCAGTCGTGGTTGCAGCCGTCTCTGCAGCCTGCAGCATCATGTGATAGATTATGATGCTTGTGTAAAAATTAAAAAAAAAAAATCTTGGTTTTTGTTTCAACTGTCTTAGTAATTCAGAAAAAAAAAGATGGTCTGTAATTAATGGTGGATGTGTATCAATGTAATTAATGGTGGGCTACCCTCTGCTTCCACCATAGATTACTATAAAATTCTACCTTCATATTTTTTTCATGAGGCACCAACACAACTAATAAGATAAAAAAAAAATTAAAACAACTCTTAATCAAGAATTTGCGATCATATCTCTTATATTAAAAAGAACCATTTAACTATGAACCGGGTACCTCTTTATAGAACAACTTGGCCTATTTGTCAATCCTTCACAAAGAATTCATTAGAGTGAAAGTACTGAAAGAAACAACTATTGCCTCTAGTCAACTTAGATACAGATAAGGCATTATCACATAGAATATGCAAGACATGCTATGAAAGGAATGAGAAGGAGAATATAACTTAGAAAGAAATACAAGTATGATGTATAGACAAACCCAGCTTACACCATTCCCATAGTCTGTTTGGTTCAGACAGGAATCAGAAGAATGGGAAATGGGATTTCAATTCTACCCAATCCCCATTGAATGGGATTTAGTGACTTAAGTGGCGTTTGATAATACTTTTCAGACCCCTGAAATCTGAAAATATTGCTTTTCAGATGCCAAAGGTGTTTGGAAGTGTCTAAATTTGGGACTGAAAATTATTTTCACATCTAAAATAATAAGACATGGGCCAGGCGCTGAACGCGTCCAGATGCATTTCAGACCTGGCCAAAAGTCCAAAATACCCTTGAACTCTCTCTCTCTCTCTCTCGTGCGCGCGCGCGCCACTACAACTTCAACGAACTAGCGATGGCGAGTTCCGGCTTTCTCCCATTCTCTCTCTTTCTCTCTCTCTCTCTCTCTCTCTCTCGCGTGCACGCGTCACTACAACTCCTTCGGCGAACTAGAGATGGCGAGTTCCGGCCTTCTCCCACCCTCCCTCTCTCTCTCTCTCTCTCTCCTTTCTTCTTCTTCTCTCGCCACTACAAGTCCTCTGGCGAACTAGCGGCGGCGAGTTCCGACCTTCTCTCTCTTTCCTTTCTTCTTCTTCTTCTCTCACCACTGCAACTAAATAGTCTAATTTAGGGGTAAAATTAGTGAATTTCAAATGTTGAAGGTTTGATCCAACATAAACAACCTTCTTTATTCAGAGCCTCTAAAAAGTCAAAAAAAGGTTGTCTCTTTGTAGATTTCAAACCCTTTTAATATATTTTTAACTTTTTAGATTTCAAATTTCATATTTATCAAACACCACCTGATTGAGCAGTGGATTCAGATTAATGATTGCATTTATATATGGTCATCCATAGCTAGGTACCTGTGAAGCTCAAGAGGCAGTTGACATGCATGATTAGAGATAGAGTAGAAAGAAATGAAGTTTGCAGGGTGAGTATTCTTTGTTTTTGAATGATTTGTGTTATTGATGCAATGTTAGGATTAGGGTTGTCAATGGTTCAGGTCAGAGCTGGAATCAGTTAGAATCAGAATCGACCCAACATGAAATGTTGAAGATTCGAACTCGATTTTGGACTCAGAAGCAAACTAATCGTTTCTTGGGACAGTCGGGGTCTAACCCGATAGAGCCGATTATAATAAATAAATAAATAAATATTTATGCTTAATATATATTAAATATTCTATATATATTATATATACAGTATATATAATTTATTTAATACATCGGGTCGGGTCTGAATAAGTTTGGCACTAGGTCAAACTGCTTCCGAATCGATAGTAACAGGGACCCTATATGAAGACCCAGAACCAGCCAAATCTATTTTTGGGTCCGTCGGGTCAGACCTGACCCATTGACAGCCCTAATCAGGATGATATCGGTTTGCGTATATACAAGACGAGTATAAAAACATAAGGATAAAATTAACATATAGAAGAATTTTTTTTTTTTTTTTTTTTTGTTTTGAATGTGCGAAGGTTAACCCATTCAACAGTTCAAGAGTTTTGCTGATATCACGTCGCATGGGCGCATTACATGAATCCTTAT